CACACACACACACACACACACACACACACACACACACACACACACACACACACACACACACACACACACACACACACACACACACACAGGATTAGTGTTAGATTACCTTATCACCTTTTACCAGTATTGATGCATTTAGATATTTAGATCTAGATCACCTCTTGATGATATATTTTTTAAAATTATGGCTAAAACAAAATCAACCCAGATAAATAAAAGACATTCTTGTGGCATACAGTATTTCTGTACGTGTTTAAAAAAAACTTCTGAATGCTTCCAGCTTTCCCCAAACACTTACAACCCTTTCAAAATCAAGCAGCTTGACAGACCGATAAAAGGATCAGCAGAGGTGGGACCAGAGGAAGGAAGGAAAGAAGGGGGCGGCTGTGAGCAGAAGTGCGAATGGCATTGCATCGAATGTGAACACGAAGCTCCTGAATCAATCCAAAGCCCTTGTGTGTTCACTAACGCTAATTCAACCCTAATACAGGCTGCAAATTAAATTGCAGTGTAGCTGCAACCTTAGCTGGATTTACCAAGCTTGGGGTGCAAAACCTGTCACTCTGTGGACTACGGAACCTATTACCCCTCACTATTGACTGTCTTTGAAAGGAGTTGGAGCCCCACATCTGGAGAGTTCGGGGAGCATATCCCCTACCCTAGCATTAAACCATGAGGGAACCATTCGGATTGGCAACCATGGCTCTTTTGCTGTTTTTCCCACTGTAACTCCCCTCGGTCCTCACCTTTAGCTGTGCTGGCCGGGGTTGATGGGATTTGAAGGCCAAAAACATCTGGAAAGATGCAGTTGGCCAGCCTAGCAGTGCGTCAGCCTGACAGGTAGAAACAAGTAGGAATCCGAGGGCCTGAGCACATTGCTGGAATAAACTGGCAGAGGGAAATTTTTTTCTTTCTTTCTTTTTTAAAATTGGGCTAAAATCAGGTGGACTTTAGCCCGAATCTAAAACGTTTGGGTCTGTAGGTTTGTCCTCACCACCGCTGTCACCTCCTCCTCCCAGGACGACCCAGGCGAGAGAGCAAGCCAGGCAGGAAAAGGAAGGGGAGGGGAGAGGGGCGAGGTAACCGGGGGGGGGGGGGTAGGTAAGTGGATCACGTTGCTAAAATGCCTGCTATCTGGTATTGCAGTGCATCAAAGAGTGGGGAAAATAATAATAATAAAGGCTCACATGTACGGAATTGATCTCTCTCTCTCTCTCTCTCTCTCTCTCTCTCTCTCTCACACGCACACACACACACACACACACACACACACACACACACACAAATAAACTGACCTGTGATGATGGAGGAATAAAATAACTGTCACACATATAAAAATACGTAATCGCCTTCAAAATTAATTGGTCCGTGCATGTGCCTCGTATAAACACTCAGATTTAAATTGATGCAGAACATACCAAACTCAGTTTAAATAAGAGGTTTTTTTTTTTTAAGTCGTGGGATTGGGCTCTGGGTTTCCACAGGAAAAAAAAATCCTGGTTTGATATTGGCCTCCATGCATCTTGTAGAAGAGGTCCATAACCCTCTGAGGGAATTCTTTTCTTGAAATCCATTTCTTAAATCCACTTCCTTCTAGATTTTTGAGCAGGCCTTTTGCAGCTGTGGCATTTCTGACCTTCTTTTTATCTGCGACCTTGAATATTTTCAGCTGTGCATGTTTTAGCCGCAGTCACACAGCGCTTCTTCATCGGCTTTGCGGTCTTTGGACACAGGACGGCCGCCCACATTGTGTCCAAAGAGAAAAAGTGCTTTGGTTAAAGAGCGGATAAAGGAGAATCAAAGCTGTGCACGCCCTTGGCATGAATTCCTGTCATATAACCCAGTTTAGGTGGAATTGCTGTACTTTAGACAGAAATACAGTCTGCCGTCTCCTCGCAATGGGAAGACTGTGATCAGGTGACCCCTACACAATTTGTTGTCCAACATTAGTTGTTTACTAATGATTTCCTAGACTGGAACTGTTTTTATTCTTTTTAATGGTTTTTTGTGTTTTTGTAAGGTTTTTGAACTCTTTTATATTTTTCATGTTTTCTTTGCCTCACTACATCTGTGTAACTAAACAGCACAATGCTAGTTTATTTGTTTTGGTTTAATTTGGCTTTGATACTTAGTAACATGCTTTTTCTTTAATAAAATAAAGATTATAAAACTCAATTGGTTTTCTGAACAGTACACTTGTCATAGGGTCATCTGAGAGTGCTGCCTCGGCCTAGCTTACTTAGAGTCCTGTCAGTGGTGCAAGTTAAGTCTAAGAACTACAAAGCCCACTTGACCTTTTCACAATAATATCTGAGAGTACCAGGGTGTTCTTATGTGGGCAGACCTGTGAGAAGGAGTGTTGTATTATGGCTAGCTGAATTTGGACTCATTCAGCCCATTTTAGCATGTGCAAACTCCTGATTGCTCTCTGTCCAAGCTTACACGTGAGTTTTCGAACCCGTGTTTGCGACACCAGGTGCTCACTGTGGATGGGCAAGTTCAAGGTCCCTGCTCTCTCCTCATAGGGTCCATCATCTTTAAAGCTTGGTCAGTGGTCCAAATGAACTTACTCGACACAAATTATATTTTAACGAGACTCTTAGAGACGTGTTTGCTGCCATTGTCCTTCACAGTAATACCCACAGTCCTGTAATGTGCGTAGGGGTGTGTGTTTGTGTTTGGGGAGCACCTCTGTGAGTCTCCCGGGTGCGCTTGGTCTCACCTACCACTTCAGCCGCTTTCACGTTGCCCACAATCAATCTCTCCTGCAGACTAGCATGGCCGTGGCAATCTGAAGCACTGAGCCGAAAACAATTAAAAAAGGAAACCCGACAAAGCGGATAAGAAGCATTGTCATGCTGAAAGCAAGAGAGGACGGTTGACGTGCAAACAGAATTGAACAACGAACCGGCGACAGGCCAAGCCTGGCTACGGAGATGATCCAGGTGTGCATTGTTCATCAAGGGCTGCCAGCTCATCATCTGGAGGTACCTCCCTATCATCAAGGTCTTCCAGGCAGTGGTTTTGCATTGCCTTGTTCAAGTCCCTTTTTTTAAATTGCTTAGACATTTGAACTGCCATTGAAAAAAGAGCAAAGGATTTTCTCCAGAGCTTGCAAAAGTTACTCCCCCCCCTTTTAATATATATATATTTAACTATTGCTCCCAGGATTCACCACAGTCACAGCTTGTGCTGGCTAGGCGATCCTTAGAGTTGTTCTGTTAAAAGCACTCTTAAGGTGACTTTTCCGAGCTCTGATTCCTTGTATAATTTGGGAAACCACTGCCCGACTATAGGAGGCAATTCATAACAAGGCAGCATGTTTACATGCAATGTGTATGGAAGTTGACACAATTATCTGCATTCACTTTTTTTTAAAGCCATAAATCCTGGCTTACTAAACCAGCATGTGCTGCCGCCCCTCCCCATCTGGAGAGGGCACTTGAGTATTTTTCATTCCATTACTTATTTATTTCCTAGTCTTTAAACACTGTCCTTGATTCTTAATGGGATGCTTAGGGTCATGTCTTATTTTGGTCTGGAAATGGCATTGCCTGTATGACAGAAATGCTTTCTCTGTAATATTTTTGCCTCTTTCTCATATTGATCCTTGATGATGGTCAAACATGTTCAGCCTTCCTTCTTGCTTTGCTACCCACAATCGCTTTGTGAGCCCCAAATACAAGAGAGGGCAATCACAGAGAATCCATTCCTGTTGGAAAGAGTCCCGACCGTCATCTAATCTATCCCCTTGACAACACACCAGTGTTAATAACAAGTACTGTGGTTTAGATCATCAAGTTCTTTCTTCTTCTCAAGCCAGGGAACTTGATTCAAATGTTACTTTTTTGAATGACCGCTCACAGAATCCCAGAATCCACCATGCTGAGTTGTAGCCCCCAAAATGCTAAAATTTCCAGACTCTGGCTAGTAGAAATGGCAGTCTAGAACTGAGGGTCCTTTTGGGTCTCTGAACCGTTCGGAATTTCAGCTCCTAGAGGCTCTGCCATCCATAACTCATGGCAAGAAAGGGTAGGAGCTGTATCCCAGCCATTTGAATGGCAAAGATTTCACACGACTGTTCTAACTATTTATTTATTTATTTATTGGACTTATATACTGCCCCATAGCGCTACAAGCACTCTCCGGGCGGTTTACAATTTTAATTATACAGGCTACACATTGCCCCCCCAGCAAGCTGGGTACTCATTTTACCGACCTCGGAAGGATGGAAGGCTGAGTCAACCTTGAGCCGGCTACCTGGGATTTGAACCCCAGGTCGTGAGCACAGTTTTAGCTGCAGTACAGCGTTTTAACCACTGCGTCACGAGGCTCATGCTAGTATTCGCGAAGGCATTCACGGCCGGATCTAATGGTTGTTGTGGGTTTTTCGGGCTCTTTGGCCATGTTCTGAAGGTTGTTCTTCCTAACCTTTCGCCAGTCTCTGTGGCCGGCATCTTCAGAGGACAGCACTCTGTGCTCTGGTGTAGTTGGCTTGAGAGTGCAGTATTTATGGCTGTGAGATAGGCTTTTGCCTTTTTCTGTAGATGGGTGGTTAGTGTGTC